AAGACAAAAGTAATCCCTGACTGACTTAGTAACCCTTAACCAAGTAACCTCTGACTGACCTAGTAACCCCTAACTGACCTAGTAACCCCTACTAACCCCAAGTAACCCCCGACCTAGTAACCCCAAGTAACCCCCGACCTAGTAACCCCAAGTAACCCCTGACCTAGTAACCCCTAACTGACCTAGTAACCCCTACTAACCCCTAACTGACCTAGTAACCCCCGACCTAGTAACCCCTGACCGCCGACCTAGTAACCCCTGACCTAATAACCCAATTAACCCCTAACCGACCTAGTAACCCCAAGTAACCCCTGACCGCGGACCTTGTAACCCCTGATCGGACTAGTAACCCCTGAATGGACCACCTAGTAACCCGTGACCGGATCTAGTAACCCCTTACCCACCACCAACAAAAAAACTACCACCAACGAATCACTACCAACCTAAACCACCAATGAAACCATATCTAGAACCCAGAACCACGAAACCACCACTACCCACCCACGAAACCACCACTCGTTCTTCAATTAAAGAAAAAATTAAGTAATAATATTTAACAACTTACAAGTTATATAATCAAAATCTTCAGCAAATAAGCTTGAATTCAACATAAAATTCGTAGAACATAAATTTCCAAAAGTAAACCATTAATGAAGTTTGAAGAAATTTGGGCTAAGAAGATGACACCATTAATGAAGTTTAAAGAAAAAAAGAGGAGAAAGGAATAAAATTGGGAAAAAAAGGAAAATATTGTAGAAGATGGAAGAAGAGAAGAGGAGAGAGAAATAAAATTGGGGGAAAAAGAAAAATGTTGTAGAAGATGAAAGAAGAAAAGAGGAGAGAGAAAGAAGTGAGAGAAGAAGAATTAAAAAAATATATATATATGGGCAATATGGTTGGCCGCACTGTACGGCCAGCCGTATATGAAACTTTGTGTACATCAAGTGGGGTACACTTAAAAAGTAAGGTATAAAGCTTACCCAAAAAGAATACGTGTCAACTAAATTAAACTTCCTAAAAAGAAATACGTGTCAACTAATTAAAAACGGAGATAAGTATAATATAATGATGATTCTGAAATTAAATTTTACTAATTCAAAGGAGCATTTTGTACTGCGTTGCTTCTACTTTATGTCCGTATTATGTAACTGTGTTGCTTTTACTATACGTACTTTATGTTTATTTCTAAGGGATAAAAATTAAGAGAAAATGTAATAAAAATGAATAAGTGTAGTTCAATCTGTTTTCTCTCATATATTTAATCTCCTTTTTAAATGGTTTTTCTTCTTTGGCTCCTTCAATCCTTTTCTTCTTCCCTCTGATATCCCATTTGTTCCAAACAATCGATACAGTTTACGCAACACTCTTATCATATCATAAAACTAGTTGCATAAGTTATTTAGTTGCAATAATATGTCTATTTTATACCACCTTTGCCATAAATATAATCCATCAATCTCTATCTAACTATCAAATCGTCTTATTAGTTACTGTAGTACTTTTATTAAAAGTAAACAACTTATATTACTATTATACGTCTATACATGCCATTATCCGACCTAAGCTACCTAACTATATATTTGTGCTAGCTAAATGCTGGTATGAAAATAACAAAAACAAAATACAATTATCTCTTTGGGTCAACACCAAAAAAAAACATTACCTAGAGTCCTAGATAATAAACAAGATAGTTACAAGACTAAGAACCTGTTTTATTCAGTTTAATTCAGCTCCAATCAGTTCAGTTCAGTTCAACTACTAATTTTCTTCTCACATAAACAATTCATTTCAACTCAGTTCAGTTTAGTTAAGTTAAGTTAGGTTCAGTTCAGCTCCAATCAATTCAATTCACCTCAACTTAGCTTAGTAAATCAGAACAAAAGTTGCATACTTACAAAGTTACAAGTACAAAGTTACTTCTTCTTTTATTTTAGGAAGTTACCTTTTTTTTTTTTTTTTTTTTTTTTTGAAACAGTATTTTAGGAAGTTACTCCGTACTTAGCAAACAAGAAGATAAAATCAATTGATTTTAACGAAGGTCAAAAAAAAGAAGGTATGTTTGGTCAATTTATCATAAACTTTTTTGTAGTAAATTAAATCACTTTCGGTGCAACAAGTGGCATCTTATTATGCTCTCTCTCAGTCTAATCCCCTCTCATCTCCCATGCACGTGATTTCTCATCTCATTTTCTCTTGTACATTCTTCGCCCACGCTTCTTTGGTGGCGCGTGTGTTTAATAAATAACTGGAAAAAAGGGTAAAGTAATAAGGAACATTTTCAATTTTTAGGTATAAAAAAATAACTTAATATTTTTTGTATGTAGTCTTGTGGTGGTAGTTAAAACATCAAAATATTATTTATTTATTTATTTATTTTAACATAGAATATATTCCCTTCAAAAAAAATATACTCCGTAGAATATAGCTTATTTGTGCATGTAAATAAGTTGGTATGCAATAAGGTATGTAATACATCTTTTGGGCCGTGGAAAGAATACTTTGAATTAGTTGTATGAACTTTTTTCCTCCATGTATCACAACTTTGCTCGACTATAAGTGACAACTTACAAGTAATTAACCTATTTATTACGGAGTACTTCCCAAAAGAATAAACAAATGTGCCTTTTAAAAACATAGATTCAACTAATTATTCTTCAACATGCTACTCTAAAAAAAAAAAAAAAGCTTCTTAATTTAAAGTTGATCTTAGGATTAACTTTAGCAAAACCATCGATCTCTAAGGGTCTGTTCACATTTACTTAATTTCAGTTCAGCTCATAACTTCCCTCTCTCATAAAATATTCAGTTCAATTTAGTTCAGCTCCAATCAGTTCATTTCAGTTCAGTATATGTGAACAAACCCTATATTCAAATATAATTGATTATATATACTTCAAAGTATATAGGAATATAAGTACACTTATTGGACAATAAATGGGGACATTATTGGAATTAAATTTTGAATAAAATGTAATGTTTTAGTTTATAGTTATAACCAATAACACATATGTGGCTGGTCAATCAAGCTGTACAATAGTCATAGAAAAACTACTTGTACTTTTTTTTTTGACACAAAACTACTTGTACTTTTTTGCTATATTAGATATATACAATTAATTATATGTGTCGGAAAAAATGGTAAATTTAAAATAATTGTTATTCCAAAAGATTAACAATGATTGGAAGTTGAGCATGCTAGGGTGAAAAAGAAACTCAATTATCAAGCAGGAAGGTTCGAGATACAACCAATGGAGTCAAACTTGGGTGGATCCACGGTTGATAAATCACTCGTTCAAATCAAATTTTATAAACTAGAAAATTAATTTTAAAAAATTTTAAAAATATTTTTGTAGGAAAAAAAAGTCAATAAATAAAAAGAATGGGATTTCAATGGGGACTGTTTTGTCAGTAATGTGAATGGAGTAGAGTTAAGCAGGCCAGCCTGGTTCCCTCAACTCCCACATGCATACAAATTTCCCATAGTGCTTCTTTTTTTTTTTTCCTCCTTGTTTTTTGAATTGTTTTAATTAAAATTACTTAATTAAATAATTCATGTGATTTTAAACATTCAAAAATACAAAAATCTAAATAAATAAAGTTATCAAATTTCTCCAATTTATTTCTTATTTAACTTTAGTTCATTAGAAATCATTGATTTCTTTTTAATATCTTAATTAAGAAGAGCTTATGAGTGAGTTATGATCAATGGCTATCTTCCAAGCAATCACTGACAAAATGATTTATTTTTCATAAAATGGATTAGTTTAAATAGTTTAAAGACACTTTAAGTTGGATTAAACATGGTTGTAGGCCTTACCTACCAAAAGGACATGTTTCCTAATTGATTTTTAGCATTTCTCCATTTCTTAATACAGTTATGTGAGGCCTTACCAAAATTAAAGGATCATGTTTCCTAATTAATTTTTTTACTATTGCAATTTATGAGTGTAAAAAAAAAAGGTTTCCTAAGAGACAATTTCAATTTATGTCACGAATCAAAAAATATCTCACTACGGGTCTGTTCACTTCAGCTTAATTTTAGTTTAGTTTAGTTCAATTCAATTCAGCTTCTAATTTTTTTTTGCTCATAAAATATTCATTTCACTCTATTCAGTTCAGTTTAGTTCATTTCAGCTCAACTCAATTCAGTAAATGTGAACGGACCCGGAGTATTTTACATAGTTGTTATTTATAAAAGTCATCTTGTGTTTTGTACTCTATATCTACGACTCTACAAGTAATATATAAGTTCTCGTACATTATTAGTTCATATTAAATTTTTAATTTTTACTCGTATCTTTTATAATTTATGCTGTAGGAATATTATACCCAACACATGTCCACTCTGACTATTGACAAGATCAGGTATTTAAGTATCTTCAATTAACTGTGCTTGGGTTTTACTCCATATAAAGTTTGATAAAAAAAAAATGCGCAATTAAAATGCTGCTAGTCCTGTTACCAATTCATAGAAAGAGTGACTATATCAGAGAGTTGTTATATTTAATACAAATAACACCGTAAATTTAGTTATATACTTATATTTATATGGTGCAACCAAGAGTATTTTGAGTACGACAAACACCCTACATTACAACATGTAAAAAGGATGCTTGTTCTTGATGGGGTATGAAATAAATTGCGACGAAAATTAGATATAAAATTTATTCTCCACAAAAGAGTTCGTTGGACAATAGCAAAACAGGAAATTGTTAGAGTGATGATTGCAATCCTTGGGTCTTAAGTAGCAAAGGTGGAAGACAAGGAAAGCAAAAGTGATGCAGGCAAACACTTTAAAACAAACATAACTACACAAGCATAAAAGTTATGGAGCAAAAATACTTGATTACAAAGCATTAATATTAAATTAAGACCATTATTATATAACACTACTAAGTACTAACTGGCAGATCATAACACAGTACTGAAAAACTTTATAATATAAGATTGTAGCAGTTTATATAATTAATACAGCATGAACTGTAAAGAACATAGGTATATATAGATCAAAGACAAATATTCTGAGGATAATAGTGCTATTTAATTGAAAAAAGAATTAAATAAACAAAGTTGAAAAATTAACCAAAAAAAAAAAAGAGAAAATGATATCCCTCCCAATCAGAGTACATCCACCAACTTATAATAAAATGGTCAAAAGCCAAATTCCAATAAGTTTATGGAATCCCAAACCCCTTTTACCCTTTACATAAAAACAAACCATAAAATCCCACCATTTTCTTGTCTCTCTCAAAAACCATTTCACACATGTAATAGTGACCCCAATCTCTTAGGAGAATTAAAAAAAAAAAACCTCTCAAAAATATATTTAATAAAAAAAATTTAAAAAAAAAAAAAAAAAAAAAAAACCTAAATGGTCTGTTTCCCTCAATCTAGCCTCATCTCCACAATTTTCTGCGTGATTTATACACTTAATTACGCGTTGTGCGCAATTTTTGTTGGAATTTCTGTAAAATAATTGATCAATGAGATGAAATTTTGTGCCTTTTATTTGCTCAAGGAGTAACAGAAGAAGGGGGTGTCCGAGACTCCATAGGAGGGGTATGCCCATCAGATCCTTTAGAAGGGTCATCTGAGGACTGTCGGATACCATCATCAGTGTTACTTTCACTCCGGTTCATATCTTCAATCATCCGGAGAGCCTCGGGCATTGAGGGTCGTTGATCAGGCACGGTTGACACACATGCCATTGCTATTTGCAAGAGTTGTACCATTTCCTCTTCAATATTGTGATATCTCATAAGCTCAACATCAAAGACCTCGGCTGTCCATTCTTCACGGACAACTGACTGTACCCACCTAGGAAGATCAATCCCATCGTCTCCTAATGAAGCTTGGTTTGGGGATTTCCCTGTAAGAAGTTCCAAAAGGAGGACACCATAGCTGTACACATCGGATTTGTATGTTGGTTTTCGAGTTTCTACAACTTCTGGAGCTCGGTATCCAGCAATGCGATTATTGGTGGAGGAAGTATTGGTGGAGAAGATATTAGAGAGGCCATAATCCGATACAGCAGGGTCATTGTTGGGGTGCAATAGGACGTTGGATGATTTAATATTACCATGAACGAGGTTGTTTGTTACGTGAAGGTAAGCAAGACCTCGAGCAGTGCCAAGGGCTATCTTCATTCGGTTATCCCAGTCTAGTGATGTGCGGCCTGCACCTCTGCTACCTGCATTTTCACAAAACATCATATAAATAGTCGCTCAAGTTAAGCAAAAAAACACATGTACAGTTGTACACAAAACAGTTGCCAATTTGTATAATATATGCAAGCAGAACATGTCGTGGAAAACTCCTAGTTAACTCTGATGATTGGAATAAAAGGGCTAAGTTGCAAGATTTTATTTCAAAATTGCTTGGACAGAACCTTCTGTCTAATTCAAAATTCTACTTATGGCCGGTTATCTTAATCAGGCGACTAATGACTAGTAGTAGCAAACTGTTAAGCTAAAGTGGAAGTACATTATGAAACCTTTTTAATCCACCTTTTTCAAACCCTAATATTCTCCAAGTACAATCATGTCCAACTCTTCTAAATCTCATCCAACACCTCCAAGAAAAGGCAAAAAGGACCTTAGGTTGATGCGAGAGATGGGTTTAGTGGAGTGTAAACCTTTGTAAGTTGCGATATTCTCATTTCTAGCATATGTAAGTTGCACATTAGATTAGTGAGCCCTTTTGATAGATGACAAGCATGTTTGTGACAGGATGAAGTGGGAGATGAGCGCACAAAGATACTAGAAAAGAACATATAGAATGACATGAAAAGAACATATAGATGAGCCCACCCCTTTCTGCCCTAAACCAGCAATATCCATACCCTTTAAAGTTCGAGGTATAAATGCTCACATAATCGCATATTGACAAACCAATCTTTCGAATGTGTTATTATAGTTGGTGTGTTGAACACAGAATGTAGCAAATAGGCACTAGCTACTTTCCTTTCGATCTTGTAGAATTCCCAAAAAAGCAATGCTTCCCTTGGTCCCTCATCAAAATATTAGCTTGGACCAATTCTGCTCGAGAAACATTTGATGGATGTCCTTGCAACATATTACCTTTAAAACTAGTTTTCCCAGAAGAATGTTCGATATATATAAATAAATTTACAGTATGAAATAACCATAAGCAGAATCCAAATCTTCAGTCCTGCTTATGTTCTACATTGGTGTTGATCATATCTATCGATTCATTCTACTATTCAGGTCTCATCACTCATTCCAATCAAAACAAGCGGCATACAAGTGATACATGAAACGTAGGACACGAAGATTTGTTCGGCCATGGCACCAACTAGACTAGGGATTCCTTGCATTCAATTGTAGTGCCACTCCCTCCCTAGGTACTTTAATCTCCATTCTCCAACCAAAAGTGAGACTACCAATAAAACTTTGAGGATTATTAAAATGACAAAACTAATCTTTCGGTTCTCATTAACCAAAAGAAGTACAGCAGCCCCACGTTTCATATCATCAAAAGTGTCACATTATTTACCAAAAAACAGTTGGCTAAAGTTGGAAATTTTGCCTTGGGAAACTCCCTAATTTTCTCACCTATTTATACCAAAATCTCACTAATCAGCTTTCTCAACAGAAAAAGAGAGCACCCTAGGTTTTTTTTCAGGCTTTATGGTCCAAAAAAAAAAATCAGTGAAAAGTCCATATTGCCCTCATACAATGGGATTCACAGAATGTCAGAATCATACAATGGGCAATCATGCTGAACACCTTCACAAAGTGTTTTTTGGGTTTTGATGAAATTTTGTAACATGCAACTTTTTTTTTTTTTTTTTCTTTTTCCTTTTTCTTTTTAATCTTTTTAGGTGAAAAATGTGAGACATTGTTAAAACAGAGTGGCTTAACTCAAATCATTAGAAGTAAAAAAAGAAACCTAAGTCACAAGGACCTTTGTCGGTGCCTAAAATCATGAAAGGGTATGTTACAATCTTGGTCCCAACTTCATATAATGAAATAAAGATTAAATTTTTATCTATATAAATTTTTAATTATTTGTTCTTAAAAAAAAATTCCTCCTCCCATTGTTGTCCAGCTCAATTCTCTCAAGTACAAGTGTGCTAGAAGCAACCAAAATAAGCAACAAATCTATCACCTTTCATCTATATAATTCAATATCCACCCACCACCAATAATATTCAATTTATCAAATAATCCAAAAAATAAAAAGAATTTCATTCTATATTATGATGGCCAAGCAAGTAACTGTACCTAATCATTAAAGAAATGGGTAATTTTATCAACTTTTAGTGATTAATTTTCCCTCAAATAATTAATTTAACAATACTTTACTAATTTTCAAACTAGAAATGGGAGCCCCAGTTTATATAAACAAAATTCGTTATCAAGTGGCAGAATCGTAAATAAAAAAGTAAAAATGTAGTTAACTTCTAAGTGCATTACCCGCAAGTTATATATTAATAATCTACTCACAGAGACGAATCAAACTAGATCCCACGTGACTATATTTGCTCTTATAGATTAAGAGAAATTTAGAAGATTCTCTCTTCCTTAAAAAAAAGTCAAAGATTGAAAACAGGAACATCATTATGGAACGGAGAGAGTATTTTCTAGTGTATAGTAGTTCTTAAATTCAATTATCCAAAAATAAGAAATTTAACCAAATTAGCAATGTAATTATAATTTGTAATGCAATGTAATAATCTTAATTAAGGTAGACTTAATAATAAAAGAATTAGAATTCATACCGTGCAACAGAGCAGACAAGCTACCGGCGGCCATGTAATCATACACTAGCAACTTCTCATCTTTAGAGAAGTAGAATGCTCTTAGTGGCACCACATTTTCATGCTTACACTTTCCTAATGCCTCCATTTGTGTCTCGAATTCCTTCTTTCCGGCCACCACATCCTTCAGCCTCTTTACGACAACCGTCGTCCCTTCTTCCAGCACCGCCTTGTAGCTCGTCCCGACACTGCCTTTTCCGAGAACCTCGGCAGACGCCCGCAGCAGATCCTCGAGATCGAAGCTGTAGGCGCCGCCGTTGACGAACACTAGCCTGTTTCTCTCCCCGCCCTCGGGGCCGGTGCCGCTGGTGAGGTCGTCCTTGGAGGACGACGTCCCAGCCTCCCCGGCCCCGCCTCCTCCTCCTCCAATCCCCACCGCCCTGGCCCCCGCGACTCCCGCGGCGGGCCCTTTTAGTGCAGCAGCCTTGGAGGACCCACTCTTCCTCCTCCTCAAACAACAGAAAACAAGACACAACAATAGTAACAGAAAAGCTACTGCAGCTGCCACTGCAATACCAATTATTGCTCCCTTTGATAACTTCTTCTTACCACCAACTTCCGCAGGAGTTGACGGCACCACCGCTTCCGGCGACGGTGACGGCGACGGGAAGAACGACGAGTTACACGGCTGAAGTGGGCCACCACAAAGCTGTAAATTCCCGGAAAACGAAGCTTCTGGAAACTTCGAGAGACTCTTTGGAATAGACCCATTTAAATTATTGTTCGAAACATTGAAATCGATCAATTTAGCATTAATACTCGGAATTTGACCAGAAAAATTGTTATTCTCCAAAAACAACCCATTTAAGGAAGTAAGATTGTTGATAGAAAACGGGATTGAACCGGAGAAATTATTGCTAGACAAGTCAAGACGAGTCAACCGATTCAACTGAGTCAAACTCGCCGGAAACTCGCCGGAAAATTGATTTCTTCCGACATAAAGCGCGCGAAGAAAAGTAAGGTTAGAGAAATCGGAGGGAAGATTTCCGGTAAGACGATTGTTGTGAATGCTGAGAACACGAAGCTCAGACAACCGTCCGATGGTGTTCTCGGGAATTGGACCCACTAATCCGGCGGCCGGAAGACGGAGCGAGTGAACATGGGTTTTAGCCGGATTACACTGAACACCAACCCAGTTACAGACCGAGTCAGATGAGTTCCAATCAACCCGCGAAGCGTGAGGTACCTTAGAGAAGAATGCTTGGAGAGCTTGCTTGTCCTGGGTTGGCTCGGAATCGGATCGTTCAATCGAGAAGATTAACAGTAATACTGGTAGTATCAGCATTGGTGACAAGCTCAGCCTCATTTTGGTGGGATTTGAGGAGAGGAGAGAGAGAAATGGTTGTTAATGGTTGGTTTCAGGTGATTGGTTGTTTGGGTTTGCTCCGATGAAGAACAAAACACAAACCCATGTGAGAGAAAATGAGTGAAAAGTGAGGTGAGAGAAAGTAAAAGAAGAGTGTATCACGAGAAGAATAAAGGATTAAGGTCCATCTTTCTGCTTTGCTGGTTATCAACTGAGGTTATAGTGGTGTTCTCAAATGTGTTTTTGGTTTATTAAATTAGGTTTCTAAATTTTCAAAATAAGAAACTTCACACAATTATTGGATACTAGTATTACCTACTTGTATAGTTGTATGTATATTTTATTGTACTTTTTCATCTTGCCTAGTGGTGGCGCGTTTAGTTTAGACTTTGGAGAGGGTGGAGTTTTACACTTTCGATACATGACGCCATATTTACTTAATTTCAGTTCAGTTCACTTCAGCTCCAATCAGTTCAGTTCAGCTCCATTAAGTTTAATTCGGCTCAATTCAGTTTAGCTCTTAATTTCCCTCTCTCATAAAATATTTATTTCAATTCAGTTCAGTTCAGTAAATGTGAACAGACCCTAAGTCAAATAATATTCTCCCTTCGTCTTTTTTTATAGTTTTGTTTTAACTAGTTGTTTACCTATGCATACCTTAAACAAAGGCATAATTATCAAGTTACTCGTATATTATATGGACTAACATAATCCATTGTTGCAATTAAAAGAGAACGGGATAAGGTGCAATCCCCATTATCTTGATCAAAATTTGAACCACATATACTAGCTTAATACTCCCTCTGTCTCTAATTGTTTGTCCCAAACCATAAATTTACTTTATTAAGGCTTTGGGTTAAAAATGATGCACATGGGTTGACACAAATATCAATGAGGAGAGAGAGAGAGAGAGCAAGTGGGAAAAAAATGTCAAATGTAGTATGGAGCAATCTTTTAAGGACACCTTAAAAAGAAAAGTGGAGCAAACAATTAGAAACAAAGGGAGTAGTATACTAAAACAAAGTGAATTTCTTAGTCAAAAATTTGAATAAGTTGTACTACTATAATATTAAAAAGAGTATGTTTGGTGGAAAATAATTGTGGCGCGTGGAAAGAGAAGGCTGACAGAAGTGAGAGCTTTAGAGAGACGCAAAAGTACTGGCAAGACAGTAGGCAGTGGTCGGGTTAACGGGTTAACGGGTCAAAGGTTTTGTAATTTGTAAGGAACCCATTAATATAATCCGTATTGTTGTTACTAATCATCATTATAATATGCGTGTTTTGTGTGTATTCTCAAAGGAAGGTTAGAAAATTAGCAATTTGGTGAGAATTTTCATGTTATGTTCTTTGTTAAAATTAAGTATTTACTTTTCTTTCACTTCACATGACTATTTGGTGATGAGAATTATGAATTTCGTCTCTATTATTGGCTGACTAATCTATTTTGTCCAATCATTAATTATTTTTACTACATGATTTATTTACATATATATAATTGGTTAGTTGATACATATTTATACTTTCGGTATAATATTCTTTTCACTTGCATAGTTGCATTATAAAGAGTAATAATCTTATAGCATACGCTTTAAGCATACAATTAAAATAGGTAAATGAGCTAATTTATCAAAAGAAATGTTACACAACTACTTACATTATGGCCATGTTTGTTAATTGGCTTTTTAATGTCTTTTTGATTAGCTTTTGGCTTTTGGCTTTTTTAGGTGGTAAAACAGCCAAAAAATGTGTTTGGTAATTGGTTTTTTAGTCAGCGAAAAAGCTGGCTTTTAAGCCAAAATAAAAAAGCTGCTTTGAGTAGTTTTTTTGTTGGCTTGTTGGCTCACAAATTATCTAATAAACAGCCAACAACTAACAATTAATTTACCAAACACTTTTATAAAAGCCAGCTTAAATAGCCAAACATTCCAGCTAGTCAAACAAGCCAAGTGAACCAGCCAACAGTCATTGCCAAACAAGGCGGTGTAAGCTCAATCTTCTCTATCCACTTCCGATCCTCAAATTACATGTCATGGGGCGGCTGTGTAAGCTCAATCTTTTTATCTGTGTGATGCATGAATTTTACAGCTCATCATAGTTGTTTTGATTTGGTGTAATCAACTATACATGTAAGAAATATTAAAACACCAAGATTGGAGCATAACATAATTATTTTATAGAGTGATATAAACTAGATTTAATATCAAGTAATAGTTATAGCATTCTAGGTTTATTACTAATGGATACCACTTTATTTGTTTACTACATAAAATTTGTTAATTTTGTGTTTTTTTCCATGGCTACATTGTAATAATATCAATGATACGTTGGGCATCAAGACTAGAATAGACCCGGTCTACAATAATTTATTGTAGACCCAACCTTCTTGTATACCATACGAATATGATTATATCATACGAGATGTGATTATATTATTACAAAAGTGATTATATCATTTTGAAACTGTCATGTAAATGTATAACTCAAAAAGTGAATTTATAAGTATAAAAAGTATCAAATAGTATATTACATCATTCAAAACATCATTTTAAAATTTTATCATTCTAAAGATAATTATATAATCTCATTAAATGGTTTAATATGAGATCAAATAATTCAAAATATGACTCACAAAAAGATAATTATATCATCTAAAAAAGTGATTATATTATCCAGAATGTGATTATATTATTTGAAAGTGTCCAATTTTAGGTCTACAATAATTTATTGTAGACCGGGTCCATACACAACCAATAGATATTTCAATTATATTTACAATAATTTGGCCATAGTAACTTTTTTTTTTTTTGACAGAAACAGGGGAGGGCTAATGTTATTTTGAGGTAGTAACATATTTTTTTTTTTTTTTTTTTTTGGGGTGGGGGGGGGGGAGCTAATTATTTGGAAAGTATCCCAAAATATGAGAAGAAAAAAAAAAGTTTATAGTTGTATACGTATATTTCAAAGTATCTCAAATATATACTTTATATTTTGTATATCTTAAATAATGTAGATATGATATACAAGTATATTTAAATTTGGAAATTATCATACTGAGTATTTGGGATAACTTCTACGGAGTAGTAATAATTGTGATCGATATCGATCTATATATGTATTCAAAAATGTACTTGTAATTATGATCTATAAAAAATGAACCATAAGTTTTGTATAAGACGGAATAACGTTAATTTTATTGTAAGACGGTTAATATGAGGGTAATTTTTATAATTTTTATGGTAACTTTAATCTTCTTACCTTAAGGGAAACTTTTGATTTGTAATGAGTTTGATTGTATTTTAATATGTAAATTTCTAATGAATACATGTTATATGAAGGCGCGCTAATATGATTAATCTAAAAACATATTTTAAGGGTAAAATTTATGTATGTTAGAAAAATGATAACTATAATAGTATGTAATTAGGATAACTTTAAATAATTTCAAGTAACTTTTACCTCATCTTGCAATAAGTTAATAAAAGTCCGTCTTAAAAATCAAGAATTTGTGGTAAACAAAAGTTATATAATGTATTATTTCTATCTACTCTACTGAAGTTGTTCATTAAAGTCTCCAACAAGTATATAATTGAACATGCATTACTTGATAGTTGATACTTTACAGTCTCACAAATTACAGTATAATTAAATTAATGGATTATAGTTATGTTGAATTAAAATAATATCAGTGTTGATCAACCCCATGTGTTTGTTATATTTTTCCCGCCTTTTCTCCCTTATTATCTATCTGTTTCTCTTCTTTGAAGATCCATGTGCTGCTTTTGTCAAATGACTCACTTATTTAAGATCCCTTAGGGTCTGTTCTCATACGTTTATTTTCAGTTCACTCCAGTTCAGCTCAGTTCAGTTCAGCTCCTAATTTCCTTCTCTTATAGAATATTCATTTTAGTTCAGTTCAATTCAATTCAGCTGAGTTCAGTGAATGAGAACTAGCCCTTAGTAATGAATTTTCTATATAATAATGTTTTAATTATCTATCATTGATTGAGCAATATGGTCAATGTATTACTCCCTTGATATAACAAGTTTTTTTAATTGACTTGTCCCTTTTCATTTTCATTAAAATTGGCATTTATTAAAAAAAAAAAAAAAAAAAAAAACACCTTGGTGAGTAGGTATAATAATATTGAAATTAATAAGAGACGTATCTCGCATTTTCTCTATTAAAACACCCCCTTCAATTCCCCCTTATTTTTGAAAGTGAAGTTGTATTTTCTTCCTCTAACGTCTACCTTTCAATTATAATTCTCCATATAAAACTAGAAAGTGATTGACATCAACATCATTTAACTTAAACCTTACGGTTATTGATACATAGATATTTATTTTGTCATCTATATTTTTAATAAGTAGAAATATATTTTTATCAACTCAAAATCATAGTCCTACATACATATATCATTTGAATTTGTTAGTTGTGTACTGTGAATTGAACTTGTATTTGAATGGTTCAACTTTGAGGTGATGTGTAATGTGGATGGATTGTGACATAACCGCTTTTACATTTTGGGTTAATATTCAAACAACTTCCTCAAAACCGTGTTTAATTTTGGATTTGTTTTCTTCACCTAAAAGTACAAATACTGTCGTATTTGCTCTAATATTATTAAGGTTTGATCAGATATGGGTCTAAATCTTTTTAATTTGATTGGTGTTCGTTATTATTTTTGTAAAACAATCATTGTCCAAATATTAAAACTATCTTAGTGTGCTTATGGTATGTCATAGGAGTAAAGATGAATGATACATGTCCAAAAAGTGACACATAATTATTCAATAAACCTAATTATTTATCTTATGTGATTAGATGGTTAGGTGGGTTGAAATGATAGAAATATGTCCATTTGGTGTCACATATCATCCATAATTATAATTCGAGTTTATGTTGTGGTTAATTAATCATGTCATAACTGAGGTTAGAGCCATCGAACTGAGGGCTCGGTATATGTGATACCGGGGCTTTTGGACCAAGTATTCAAGACCCGAAGAGGAAACCCAGATTGGCCCGAAGAATTGGAACCCAATCGTAGTCCAAACAGTGGCCCAAGAGAGCCGCTCGGCCAAAGAAGCTGGCACCCGAAGGCACGCCCGGCCGGGCGAGGGAAGCAAAGGCTGGCGCCCGAAGACGCGCCCGGCCGGGCGCGAGAAACGTACCTGATAGAGAAAAGGCGCGCCCGATCGGGCGATGCCTTGCCTGATCAGGCGCGTGTTATTATTAGATGTTAATTATTCGACGTTTAAGTTTGCTTTAATTTACGATTTTTACGGAGTATAAATACTTCTCCGTAAAACGAGTTTAGTACTTTTCTTTACCCTTTTCTTTACC